AATAGCAGCACCAAGACCTAAAATTCTTTGTGTAAAAAGGCTTATGTCATTTTCCAAGTCCCATTCTTTGCATGCTCCAATTCTTGTTATCTTATTTAAAACATAAAAGCAACAGGATTTGGAGAGTTACTATTTGCTGTATTAAAAACAGTTATACAGCATCTTGAACTTCAAAAAGCAAAATACTGTGAACGGCAACCCTTCTTCACAGCTCTAACCTTGAAGCTGCCAAACAGTCACTGCTCGTGCCAACAGTGGTATTTCCACAGGAAAACAGCAGAAACTAAAGGAATCATGGCACAATGTATTTCTGAATTCTTTTATCTACTATTGGTCCTGGGGCTTAGAACCTTCCCCTCGTAGACTATATCTGTTGATTATTCCATCATCTTTAATGGAGGAAAGGCATCAGGTCATATAGCGCGTAATGGCTCTCAGAGCATAAAGGAGTTCGGCTTGCATCCTAGCTTCTATAAGAAGCAGATTAACATGAACCTGCATATAAAACATAACATTTAAGGTAAGGTTATAATCATCCACAATTAGTTTTTCAGTGCATCTAATAAAGAAACACCAAAAATCAAGCACACTTTCTGTGTTCCACTGAATAACTTAGAAGTCTTGGGTTTGCTGACCAGAATATCAATTTTTCTTTTAAAATATATTTTTATTGACTTCAGAGGAAGGGAGAACGAGATAGAAACATCGATGAGAGAAAATCATTGATTGGTTGCCTCCTGCACACCCACTACTGGGGATCGAGGCCGAAATTCCGGCAAGTACTGTGACTCGTTCATAGGTCAAGACTCAACCACTAAGCCAAATTGGCTGGGCCAGAATATCAGTTTTTCAAAACAAAAGCTATCTGATGCTCTTTTTGGGTAGTTGTTTTGTGCTTTTATTAGTTTGATCACATCTCTTCTGGGAGGTATATTTCAGAAAATCTAGACAGTGCTTTATTAGAATATCAATTTCCCGAGTCAAATCATCATTCAATCATTTCTATATAAAGATGAATCAAAGACTAGACCAGGTTTTTCTAACAAAACATTTTTTTTTAAAGAGCTCTTGTACAACAGTCTTCTCCTAAGTGATGACAGCCAGCACTTTAAAGATGGGCCAGACCACCTGTCTTTATTTTTTTACTCTAGCACAGTGGTTCTCAACCTTGGCTGCACATTAGAATCACCTGGGAATCTTTTTAAAATCCTGATTTCTGGCCCTCATCCTCCAGAAATTCTGTTTCTTTGTTACTAATGTTGTGGCCCCACCCCATAACAAAGAAACAGAATTTCCAGAGAATGAGGCCCAGAAATCAGGATTTTAAAAAGATTCCCAGGTGATTCTAATGTGCAGCCAAGGTTGAGAACCACTGCTCTAGCACCATGAGGTTCTCTCCCAAGTGGTATCTGAGGCAGCTGTGCTGGAATGTTTTGGGTTGGAAGAGGTAATGGAAAGGTTTGAGATGCTTTAGATTAGGTGAAGGAGAACAAGAATCACTAAGGTACAGAGTAAACAAGCCACAATAGGTACATACCTTCTCGGAGTGCTTGAACTGCCTCCAGAAGCTATCATACATTCTTTTTGTAACCTTTTCAGGAGTGCAAACAATAGTTTTGATATAAACTTTAAAGCTACGATCCAATAGCTGGTTAATTTCACCATAGTCATAGTCATCATATCTGTTAAAAGACAAAGTACGAACCATGTTTTCGATATATGAGCTGTTTTCTTCTTACAAAAGTACAGAAACCACTCGTAAATGCTAATTCCTTTCCCCTCTTTGTGTAGGCAGCTGTCCCCCCCAAATAACAACTTTACAATGTTTAAATGGGAGTGGATTAGTGAGTGGACATGGGTAAGAAACAGAAGTTAGGGAGATGAACAAAAAATTTGCCAGTGCCCAAAAAATAGTATGTATTTACAATCATGAATAAGCAACCACACTGAGGTGCAAATTCTGGAAACGGTTTATGAATATTGCTGAAATTAGACAATATTTATTATTGGTACTATTACATGATATATAAATTGTAATCCACTTGTGTGAATAAAATAATTAGAATTCTTTTTCTCATGTTCCCAAGTTTCTTGGGTTATATGAGTAAAAAAAGGGGGGGGGGGCGGTTTCCAGAGGAAAGATGGTCTATAGACGGCCTCACGGTGTCCTCTACACTTAGGAGACACTGTTCTGATTTAAGCCAAAATGGTCAAAGGTTCCAGTGTCTGCTCTACCCCACTATGTGATGATTTCTAGAACACCCAAGGACTAAAATCTCCTATTTGTTTTTCAGTGGAAAAGGGAGAAAGTTCTTGCAAAGCTGGTCCTAACCATTAAGGAGGTTAAAGTCAATAGCTAAAATAATCAGAAAGTGCTGTGGCATGGAGTTTGTGTGCATGTGTCAAAAAGCAGTATAAAATAGCTGCACTCCCTATGTAACATAATAATGTGGCTGAATACCTAGGAGTCAGGACATGAACGTTTTACACTTTGATGAAGTATCATGGGAGTAGGGCGTAGCTTTTGAAGGAGCTTGAGAACAGCCAGAGGGGTACTATAAAGGTACTAAGTTCCAAGAAGGTAGAAATGTAAGTGTCTCAGGAAATAGACAATACTTGACTTTCCTCCTCTTCCCTGGAAGCATCTTGTCAATGTCCCTAACTTTCCCTCCCGCCTAGCTAAGAAAGAGGAAACAAACCAAGCTGTTATAAATTGGTTCTCTCAAGCATAAGCATAAAAAGCTACTGGAAAGGGGATTGTTTTGAGCTTGTGTGTCTGTGTGCATATGTGTTCCAAGTACCTGAATAGTTTAGTCCAATGGAAAATACCTCTTTGTAAACATAAGAAAACAGACTAACCTTATTCCAAACATGCAGTGAATATAGTTCCAAATAGCCCGTCTGAGCATTGAGGTATCAACATCTTTGTGCATTGCCATTGTATTATAAGTAAGATTGTAAGCAATGTGAAATTTTTCATCAATCAACTGTCCCACATCTGGATAAAGGCGATTTACCAAAGAATAACCATGGTCTTCCCAGCAATAGTCCTAAATACAGAGAATAGAATAAATGTGAATAATTAAAATGTGGCCAAGTATTATCCTATGTCTACCACTCTGCAGTGTGGTGAGATTGTCAGTTGGAATCCACTGCTGTTCTAGTACATCCCTAGCTCTCAGCTTCACTTGCACTCCAGTCTGATATTTTCAATTTCTATACTACAACATACAAAAGGTTGTTTATTACTCAGCGAATTTAAAAACCAATGGACTCTCTTCCTTACACATAGGCCAACGTTTTCAGCATTCTCTCTCTGTCTCCTCCCTCAGCATCCAGAGGAGCCCTCTCTCCTTTTCCATCACTGCACCCATCCAAACCGTCCTCAAGTTTTATTTAGAAATATCCATCACTCATTCCTTTTCCTCCTACTGCATCTTTCTTTTGACTCTCAGACCTGTTTACTGGGTCTCCTAGTTAGATTTTCCACATTAAATCTCCCTGCTTCCTTTCTACCTCAAACAAAACTTAATAAAGCACCCACTTCTATGTTGCTCCCATATGTATTTTCCTAAAACACCTCTTTGATATCATGTAATTACTCTGGTCAAAACCTACAAATCTGACCAATTTCCCACTAGTCAGAAGTAGGAACCCTTTGCTTAAAGCTCACAGCAGCCCAGCCAGTTTCTCTGACTTCCTCCCTCACTATATCCCTTAACCTAAACTCAATTACTGTCCTCTGAATATAATGCCCATGCTTTTGGACCATTCAATCATCTCAATTCCTAATTTCCCTCCACAAAATGTCCAGCCTTCCTGATTGCTTTAATTCTAATCTATTATATTTCATGATACAATTTCACTATCAAGTAGAAACACACTATAACTTCCTTGTGTCTATTTTTGTTCCCTTAAATAATCTTAGTTCCTTGAGCAAAGAAATGAAACCTTATAGCTCTCAAGTGTTTTCATAATCCTGGCAAAATAGCTATTAACACAGGCCCCTCACAATATGGAAAAGTTTAGAATATCAACTCATATTTACCTAAATTAAATATTTATACATTATTCTAAAATACCTCTAAAATACAGTATATTTCTACTGATGGACTAGAAGCAGTCTTATAAAACTAGAGCACAGAATAGATAAATATTTGCTAACTGATGATTGTCAACTTTTATTCTGGTACTAGGGGATACAGCTACTGTTGCTTCTAAGATATGCTTGCAGAACACTCAGCACAGTGCCTCCTGCAAAACAAAAAAAAGAGGAGCCTGGTATCCTGGAGGACCACCAGTTCCTTATTTTTCCATGGACAGAAGTGCAAAGGGGAAATTTACTGTATATTTCGAAGTTAATGATTTGGGAGCTAAAGAAACTGGGCCCATCAACAATAATTCTATTCCCAACATCACTAACTTTATTCACTGAGAGATAGCTGTTAAATTATTATTGAATATTTATTTATGTGAATCCCCCCGAAGTTCAAATTTAAAATCCTCAAAAATTCTCATTGCCTCAAATAACATTCAGTTCATATTTTAAAAGGATTTGGGATGCTGTAATTGTCATGCTTTATTTTTTGAGGTATCTGTATTTAAACACATCTTTCACCTCTGATTTTCTCATCCCTTTCCCTCCACCTACACATAATGCTTGATAGGCTGAGGACATTTCTCTTGTCATTCAGGACTGGTGCTTATCAGAGCAGAAATCGCCTCATTTTAAATTGGGGCTCAGTAGGTAGGGGAGAAAAACCAATGCTAGCTACATTCAAATACAACTGTTATTTATTGTTTAGTTGTATTAGAACTTTGAGTTTTTATGCATCATTTGGGAACCTAACCACCACAGTAATTTTGTTTTATGGGTGAATGTGTTTTGAATTCTGAGCCACTGATTTATGAACTTTAATAATATATACACTTTCAACAGTAGAATAAATATATCTAAGGGAACTGCCTGTACATAGAAAAGTTAATTCTTTCTGCAACATTTTATACTTCTCAAATCCACATGGCTCTTTCTTATTTTAAGTCAAATTGAGTTATTTCAAACCAATTACTAGTATGTGTATACAATATGTTGCAATTTTACCTGGACTCGAAATGTTGGAACGTGCATCCCATGTCTAGAGAAATCCTTATAGCCGTAACTAGTATCCTCAAAGTGACGAGATATCTCTCTTGCTGGTGTAACTTCATCATCATCTGAAATAATTATAAAAACTACTGAAAACTTTTAAAAAACAGGATGCTAGTTAAAAATTCATTTTACCATTAACAAGTAAAAATAGGATAACCTTTTCTTTGACCAACATCAACTACAATAGTCTTAAAACTATACAGAGAAATAGCTCACTTACCAGTAAATGCAATATAATAAAAGTATATTTATTATCTACACTAATAAAAGACAAAGATGCTAATTACCATACCTTCACTATGCCCACCAGCCAATCAGAGCGACTATATGCAAATTAACCCAACCAAGATGGCGGCCGGCAGCCACGGAGCTGGAGCAATCAGGAGGCTTGGTTGCCTGGGCGATGGAGGAAGCCAAGCTTCCCGCCTGCCCTGAACCAGCTATGGCCTCAGCTCATGGCAACAAAGTTTCAATTATAGAAAACAAATCACAGATACCTGCTTCCAGCCAGCCTCCACTGGGAGCTTGGGTGGTTGGGGGCTAGGGCCAGCCTGCAAACAGCCATCAGCCCCTCACCCAGGATGGCCACACCCTCATGGGGTGAAGGTCCCTGCTGGGGGGCTTAGGCAGCCTGAAAATGGCCCTCAGCCCCTCACCCAGACTGGCCAGGCACTCCTATATAATAAAAGGGTAATATGCAAATTGACCCTAACAGCAGAATGACTGGTCACTATGACACAC